TCTATTCCAAGGCTTTCGCTGGCCACGCTATTTCACTCGATTCTTAGTACTTGTTCGATAGCTAAAAAAACGGTGATTCTGACAGGATGATTGCTTTCTCGAAAGGCCTTCACAGCGCGGTGTAGGAATGGAAAGAAGACTAAGTTTTGCGCTCAGTTATCTCTATGCACAGGAACAACCTATGCACAAAAAACCTGGAAGAGCAGGAGGGAAGGATGGGAAGGGAGGCATACATGGAAGACCTGGGAATATCAAAATAACGAGGAAAACCTGAAACTCTTTTTAGAACGAAGAAAACCCCAGGTTAGATCACGTAAATCGAGCGCAGTGATGTAAACTGCGGTCTCCCAAAGGTTAAAACCATAGCACGACTCCTACGAAAAAGGAAAAGAAACCGGACTCATCAATACTAGAAGCGAGATATCAGAGTAGCTTACTTGCAGGCAATTTACTAGCCGTGTCTGGTCCCTTCGATCCCTTCTTTCGCTTTCCGATTCTCGACGGAATCGGTGCCTCGTATTTCTTCTTCTTCTCCTTATCCGCATCACCACCACCTCTCTCGGTGCCTTTTCCACCGAATCCCGATTGCTGCTGACCCATCTTCCCTGAAGAGAAAAAAAAGAGGCTTCAGTAGAAATAAGCACATAAATACGACCGAATCTGGTTTTGGGAGAGCCCGACGGTTCTTTATGGTCATAGGAGAATAAATAAAAAACCGATTTTGTTCACTGGAGAGGAACTTCTCGTAGGAGTGTTAGTAACCATTCGAAAGCTGAGACTTCAGGCTACAACCCCACGTCGCTGGTTTTCGTCGGAAAAGCCAAGAAAGAGCTATATTCGGCGAGAAATATGCGCGTCTAGTCCTAGGTTTATTTTAGAATTTATAGCGTTATAAAAGGGTGTTCTGGAAAACCGGCGACGTAGGGCTGTCGTCTGAAGTCTCAGCTTTCGAATGGTTACTAACATTCCTATGGAAAGTTCTTCTTCAGCAAATGAGATCGATTTTCTATTTGTTCCCCCCAACCACAAAGTCTCGGCTAGATAGAAATGAGAAGGGAGTAAACAAACAAACAAACAAACGAACAATAAACAAGTTCGATTCACTAAGCAAATCTGAGAGGAGATAAAGATGAAAGCGCTTACTACCAAGGCCATCAAACACTCGGCGGACGAGATCCTGAGAAGAGAGCCAATAGAGCTCCTGAATCTAGAAGTGCCGTGCCAGGATGACTTTAAACACACTCGAGGAAACTCGTCCATTTATCCGTGGCGCGGCGAGTGCCTCCAGAGCACTTTTGATGGACGAGCCATACAACAACGGAGAATGCTCAGCAGTGTTTGAACATTTCTTCAATGCGAATTTATCAACTTCCTTCACTGGAGAGGAACTTTTCATAGTAGTGTTAGTAACCGTTCGAAAGCTGAGACTTCAGGCTACAACCCCTCGTCGCTGGTTTTCGTCGGAAAAGCCAAGAAAGAGCTATATACGGCGAGAAATATGCGCGTCCAAACCTAGGTTTACTCTGAATTTTATAGCGTTATGAAAGGGTGTTCTGGAAAACGGCGACGTGGGGCTGCAGCCACAAGCCTCTGCTTTCGAATGGTTACGAGCACTCCTATGAGAACTTCTTCTCCAGCGAATGACATCGGTTTTTTATTTGTTCCCCTGTGACCACAAAGTCCCGGCTAGACTAGAGATGAGAAGGGAGTAAACAAACAAACAAGGAGTAAACAATAAACAAGTTCGGCTGACTAAGCAACAAACTGGGCATAGATGAAGATGAAAGCAACAAACACTCGGCAGACGAGACCCTGAGGAGAGAGCCAATCGAGCTGATGGATTTAGAAGTGCCGCGACATGATGACTTTAAATATGTTCGAGGAAACTCGTCCATTTATCCGTCGCGTGGCGAGTGCCTCCAGAGCAATTTTGAAGGGCGCGAGCCATACAACGACAGAGAGTATTTAGCAGTCTTTGAACCTCTCTGCAAGGCAAATTTACCAACTCCGAAATAGAAATATCGTCCCTAAATTTGATGAACACGAAGAAACTCGACATGATATCTCTGCAATCAAGGAGAACGGGCAAACATTTGGACGAGTTTTCCGCTCAGCGGTTCGGTCATGGCTTTGCATTTGAGCACGAAATCTCCTGCAATCCAATGATATTGACAACCCTTTGATCTACACGTGTTTGGACTTGTAGTAATAATATGGTACAAATTTCGGGCATTATTGTGTGGTCATGCTCAGTGAAGACAGGCCATCCGTAGTTCTACAGTTTGGCAGGAAGATTCCTCCATGTACGAAATGTATGATTCGAACTTGGGTTATTAAACCTCCAAGTCAGTAATCACAATTCAGCAACACCGTGATTTATGAGACCGCTTAATTTATGTCTCTATACCTTGTTGTATAGAAACATCGGGTTCGCCGATCGACTAGCACGGAACGACACCGCAAATGGTGGTCAAATAAAAAGATTTCCGACCGATTATCGATACCCAATGTCTGTCAACACAAGCGGGTTCGATGCCGATAGCGGCTGCACAGCCAGACCGTCGACGGCTGGCTGTTGGCAGACAACGCGTTATAGCGTTACGAAAAAAGAGTGCTGTGCAAAACCGAGCGTCGGTGGTGCAACGGTTAGCACACGCTCCCGGAAAGAGTCAGGTCTGGGTTCCATTCCCGGCTGACGCAAATGTTTTTGCATAGCACTCCACATTATTAGGTAGCACGGATTAACTTACTCAGTAGGTCACGGCTAATCGATAATCGGTCTAGTGAAGGGCAATGGTGTCGACCAACCGCTCACCAATATCTGCTAGGTGTCGTATTAACAGGGTACGAGTTTCTCTCATTACTACGCGGTCATAGTTTTGCATTAGAGCACGGAAGTTGCTTGGCTCGAATAGTGTTAGCTGGCCGCTCATCTCTGACTTTGTCATCGCTTTCGTCTCGTCAAATTGTAGAAATAATTTTAAAAAGTCGTTTTATGCTTATATCACTTATATCGCCCAATTTTGCCCACGCCTAAATGGGCGTCAGTAGTGTAACCGGTAGAGCACACATTCCCGGAGAGTGAGGTGGGGGTTCTAGTCCCGGCTGACGCGGAAGTTTTGCTCATTGCTCTACATCAATGGGTATCTATTTGAAACATCATACCATCGCTATAAGCGGTAAAAATAAAACGAATTTTATTTTGTCGCTTATCACTCATAGTAAAATGCTGGTGATTGAAGTACGTACTGTTTTGCCTCTGTTCTACTCTTGTCACGTCCTTCCCCAACTTGTTTTCCCCATCGGTAAGTGTCAATTTTCTATTGATATAGTATTTTTGCAAGCTCACTGTTACACGCCTTCTTCAGTTGGCAGTGATGGAAGTTTACGTGAAATTGAAGGAAAGCTCCGGAAGTTCCTTAAGAAATCACCTGTCTTGCCGAGCCGGGGTCAGACCTGCCCCTAGCTGGAGTCAGACCTGCCTGTCGAATGATCACTAGAAGTCTAGGGAAAAGTTCCGCCCAGCGGGAAAGGCCTTCAGTTGGCAGTGATGGAAGATTTCAAGGACTTGAAAGGAAGCTGCGGAAGTTTTCTCCTTGAAAAATCACTTGTCTTGCCGAGCTGGGGTCAGACCTGCCTGTCAAGTGATTACCAGAACCCTAGGAGAAAAGGTTTGCCCAGTGGGAAAGGCCTTTAGTTGGTAGTGATGGTAGATTTCGTGGAATTGAAGGAAAGCTCAGGAAGCTTTTCCTGAGAATTCACTTGTGTTGCCGAGCCGGGGGCCGGGGTCAGACCTGCGTGTCGAATGATGACCAGACGTCTAAGAGAAAAGTTTTGCGCAGCGGGAAAGGCCTCAGTTGGCAGTGATGGAAGATTTCGTGAGGAGAGCTCCGGAAGTTTCTTGAGAAATCACTTGTCATGCCGAGCCGGGGTCAGACATGCCTGTCGAATGTTACCAGTCTAACCTGCCGAGTCGGGGTCAGACCTGCCTGTCGAATGATGACCAGAGGTCTAAGAGAAAAGTTTTGTCCAGCGGGAAAGACCCTTGAAAATCGTGTACCTCAGCGGGTACACGTCGTCCTTTAGGGATTTAGGTTAAGTTAACATCTATATAGGCTATATCACTTCGTTTCCAGCTGGGATAATCCAGCGAATCTAGAGCAATTCTCGCTGAGGACTTTTTTCATCGCCTAAGTCTACGTTTATCTTTCTTTCTTTCTCCTTCTCTTACTCTTTCTCCTTTCTTTTCTGTCTCCGTTCCTTCCAAGCAATGCTCCATCAAAGTCAAGAAGATTCCCTGTTTTCGAAAATAAGATTATTCCCATAAGGGGACGATTCCTCTTACGGTCTTTGAGGTATCTGGACCAAGGCGTTCCTAGGCGTTCATTTGATTGATCGTACGAGAGTGTTGGGGAAGGGAGTCGAACCAGCGCATCGCTCTCTGACACACTGCATAACTATCCACTGCGCCACCTCGCCTCTGTATAGGATTTTGTTATTGCGAAACAAACAGTGACTTGCTGATGAGTGCCGAAATTGATGGAAAGTTGGGCTTGAAAAATGAAGGGTCTATTGTAGTGGTCCTGTGCTGTAGAGTGCGAGACCTATATATCATTTGTTACGATCGGCGCAGAAGGCGGTGATGGCTCAGTTGCTGCGTGCGCTGAAATGGCTATGCGGGTGGGGAGTACGCTCCCGGGCAGGTCGGTACTGGTGATGAAAACTATTAAGCCAGTTCTGCTACTGAGTGTTATGAGGAAAGTATAGGCTCCTGAAGTACCATGTCTTTTGCTAATGAATTGAACTAGCTCTTCACTTACCAGATCGCTTTCTGATGCACTGCATCACTAGCCACTGCGCTATGCTGCTCGACCCACGAACTGACTGTATCAAGTCAGCTTCATCTTCTTTTCCGTTGCGAAGAAACATCTGTTGAGAATATAAGAGCGTTCGATTTTCGACGTCAGAGGTATCATGGAAAGAGTGATAGCGGAACGGGAGCTTCGGTGGTGCAGTGGTTAGCATGCGCACACAGAAAGGCTAAAACGCGGGTTCAATCCTCGCCCGTGACATTTTTGCATAACAGTCCACGTTATTGGACACATATTCGTAACATCATAGCTTTGCTTAGAGAAACAAATAGAGAATTCTGGTCGAATTTTGCGTCGTTTTGTTATTGAATGAAATGGATTGGCAAGAAATTTTCCGGATTTGTCGTTTTTTTTTTTGTTTTTTTTTGAGCATTTAAGTTTTTCTTACTATTGTTTAGGGCAGCTTCTTGCGGTTATTTTGACTTGTAACACTCATATTTTTGAAGAAAATATAGTGAAGAGGGCTAAGAACACCCGACTCCATGCCCACCTTTTGGACTCGACGGTTATCCCTGCCCTAACGTATGCAGCAGAAACCTGGTCGCTACGTAAGCAGGATGAAAGATCACTTGGCGTTATCGAGCGCGCAGTCGAAAGATCGATGCTAGGAGTATCCCGTATCTCGCAAATGAGAGAAAGGATCCGAAGTTCCGACCTACGTCAACGATCGAAAATCAGAGACGCCGTTTTACACGCCAGGATATCGAAAATAAGGTGGGCCGGACACGTGATGCGCTTCAACGACAACCGATGGACGAGAGCCGTTACCGACTGGATTCCTCGGGACGTCAAGCGCTCTAAAGGAAGACCACTGACCCGTTGGTCCGATTTCTTCACGAAAGCGATAGAAGAAAGATATGATGCTCAGCGAACCCCTAGAGCGAGGAGGACCCACTGGGCTACTCTTGCACGCGATAGGGAAAAATGGAAGAGTTGCTGGTACCCGCTCGAGTCACTCGACGATCAATGGGACGGCAGGTGATACAGGTGATACGTTTGTTTTGAGATGGAGTTGTCCTCGCGAGAGCAAAGAGACGATCATTGATGCTACACGAGTATCGCTGCGTGCCAAACTAGCACTTCAACCCAAACTGATGCTCGTGTAGGGTGGGGGGGAGAAGAGAAGGTCCTTCCCTCCCCTCCCTCGTTCTTCTTTCTTCTTTCCTTCTTCCTTTTCTCGGTCAGGCCACGAAGAAGCAGATTTAAATTCAGCGTATTGTACCTGCTGCGCTTCTTCTTCCTTCTGAAAGAGGGAAGGGAAAGAAGTTTGCCTCCAGTTTTCTTTTTTCTCTAAGAGTGAAGGGGTGAGAGAGAGGCCGCACAGACGAGAGGGAGACCCTCTTCTTTTTCTCCCTTCTTATTCTTCTTCCTGCTTCTTCTTCTTCCAACAATCGTTTTTCCTTTCCAGACAATTCCATCTTATAACAAATGTTTAAGGGTTATATTTGAATGATAGTAGAGCAAAAATAAATGCATGAAAAATAATGAACCAAATCGAGAAAGTTTGGGAAATTTCTTGCCGACCCAAGAACAATGTCAACTTCAATTTGTTGATTGTCAAATTCCAGACAGGCAGACACGATGATGCAATTCATGCTTCTATTCAGTCGCCAAGGAAAACTGAGGCTTCAGAAGTGGTATACGGCCTATCAGGACAAGGTAACCATTCTTTATGTTATGGTGAGAACTGTCCGGTCAGTTGCAATCTCACCCTATTGAAGGGGTTAACTACAAGACCTCAAGCAGCCCATAGAATTCAGTGGGATTGTGTGGTTTTTACTTTCGCCAGCTAGAGCTTTTTCCATCTACTTCAAGTAGTCATTGGATCGATTGAGAAATAGCGACTCCAAAATTGTACTTGGTCCTTAAGAGGCCTCTCTAGTGTGGTGTACGAGGAGAAAAAACGCCGAAGCTAAAAGATTTGTAGATGCCTTTATATAGGACTGCTATCTGAGACCTCGTCCTACCTGGCGCTGCCGTACCAGGGGCTCTTTCGGGGTGAGGAAATGAGGCCCATATTTGTTACTGTTTTTGGCATTTTGATACCCGATTCATAGTTGCCAGGCTCTAAACGTGGGGGCTGGGTACTCACGAGTAGCTTGCCAATCTCTCTCGGAGACCTCGTTCAAAATGATATATAATAATTTGAGAAGATATTTTAAGCTTTTTATGAGGTCTGTCATGGCACTTATAAAGTGCTAGAAATGTGTTTCGGCCTTTGAACCTCATCAGTAGCACGCTGCTTTTCGTTTGAGCCAATCCCTTGTAAGAGGGATGTACCCCTGTCCTGCGTTATAGAGGAATCGACGATGAAGATGTTACGCTGTGCGCGCAAGGTAGAAGTTACTTCACGTTGCAGATATATGAGAGGTATATTGTAAAATATGAAATCAGATTAGATGTTGTTCTAAGGTCTCAAAATCAGCCAGATATAAAAAGGTGCAATCGAATTTACCAGCCATGAGCCATGGATTGTTCATCACTATAGTGTCGGGTGATCTTGGCATTGGACATCTAATGATTTGTTAGCTCTGAAGCGTGAAGTGGAAATTCCCATCTTGCGCGTACAGTGTAACATCTTCGTCGTCAATTCCTCTGTGTGTAGAGAGTATATTTTCTTACAAGAAATTTGCTCAAAGGTAAGGCATTGTGTTACTCATGAGGCCGAAGGCCGAAGCACGTGCCTAGCACGTTATAAGTGCCATAACAGGCCTCTTGAAAGGCTTGAAATACGTTATCAGATTGAAGGATCTGTATTGTAATATACTTCGTACAAGGAGCGCAAGTGGCGCAGTGCTTAGAGGTTCTCTGCGTCGCATGCGAGATCAATGGTTCGATCTCGCGCTCATGGCTCACCAAGCCATTCATCCCTCCGGGGTCGGTAAATTGATACCAGACAGGTCTCAGACTTGTCTGGGAGGATAAGCAGCACTGACTCGGTTCTTCGGGAGACCACCGCGAGTTATTGTAAAGGCCAAATATGCATTCAATCACCTCAGACGAAGTTAAAAATGAAGTCGAATGCATGGCGCATCCCTCAAAGATTGATCAACGTCAAGAGCTTTATCCTTTATTTTTTTATTGTAATATACTTCGTACAAGGAGCGCATGTGACGCAGTGCCTAGAGGTTCTCTGCGTCGCAAACACGGTCGATGAATTCGTTTCTCACGCATGGCTCATCAAGCCATTGATCCCTCCTGGGTCGGTAAATTGGGTACGAGACTTGTCTGGGAGGATACTTACCTAGATACTTGGATACTTGGACGGTCCGTCTTCACTAGTTGTGCGGACCCCATCACTATTCCATTCGTCTCTTTGCTGCGCGACAGTCGTCCATGACGGTGGTCTAATTTGAGCATGGCGGACAAGATATCGGAGGATAAACAGCACTAAATCGATACAGCGGTAGGCCACCACGAGTTTTTGTGAAGACTGGAGATGCATTTCATCGCTTCAAATGAAGGTAAGTACTGAAGAAGAATGCATGGCGCATCCCTTCACGGATCGATCAACGCTGAGAGCTTAATCCTTTTATCCTTTATACTTTGTGCAGTCCTACTGCAGTTGACTAGAGTTACGTGAGCACCCAAAATAAAGGGGGATGGGGGGGGGGGGGGTATGTGGGAATGTATAGAGCATCAGAGCAATAACAGGAACGAAAAATCTCTTGCCCTTTTGAGACCATGGACCCAACCCTCTGCTTGTCTAACCCCCAGCGTGTTGGCCCTAACTCCAGTGGCACGCTCTCTTGTCAGACGCAACACGCTAGAGACTAGAGACGCAGAGGGTTGGGTTCACGGCCTCGAAAGGGTATAAATGGGGGAAAACCCGAATGAATTAACGAAAATCGCTCTACGCCATTGAATCAGCTGCGGTTACCAATGGGTTAACTATCTTTTCTTAGAATTCCATCATTTTCTTCATAACAGTTTTGTCTCATTATGATCTTTGTGGTTGTAAAACTTCGGCCAATTGCAATATATCAGAAGATGCTGGATGTTATACTAAATATTCAACCCCATGCGGGAATCGAACCCACGTATCACCTTTTCCGATGGCGCATGCTAACCACTGCACCACCGTGGTTTCTATTCTGCTATTACTCTTTTTGCAATGCAAGTCTACCAGAGCAAGTACTTGACTGTTGGCTGCCCACAGAATCGTAACTGGTATCGCAGGAACGGTAGTAGCTGAGCAGCAGCCCCGGTAAGGCAATAGTTTACACGAGAACCTGAAAAGTCGACTCACGGATTCAAATCTCCGAGGGTTAAGGTTCTACATATCACTCAACATTGCTTAAAATAAGGTTTCAATGTCATACCACTGCTAGAAGAACGGTTAAATAAAGAATTCTTGTTGGAAACAATTTTTCTATGGTCATTATACCTTTAATTCGAGTGCTTTGTTTAGACCACGCTCAAATTTCAATAGATCCTTTCATTATTATTTGAGCCAACTTGTCTTGTGGTCTGTAAGGGCTCTTGTACAGCCCGAGACACATGTTTCGTCCTTACAGACTTGTCAGTCGGACGGAAGCTGCCGTCTTTCGATCTTTTAATAGTCAGTTCTCTCGGGAGCCTTACACTCCTTATAGGAAGTCATCGAAGACGAACGTTTTACACTCTATGTCAAGTGAAATTTTCACCTTACTTAGATGTTGCGCATTCGATTGCTCTTTGGCTGGTACTTTTATCATAATTATACCTTTATGTCACGTGTATTGGGCTGTACAAGAGCCCTTACCAGACCACATGACAAGTTGGCTCAAATAATAATGAAAGGATCTATTCTATGATCATAAACAGATTCTGGAAAGTTTGTATACGTATCTCCAGAAGGACGTGACCGATCATTTGTGGATGTGTGACTTGGTAGCTAATCCAGAAAGCTCCGGCAAAACCACGATGTTTTTCCAACTATTTCTAGCAGGGGAAGGGGGTAAAGCACGAGAGCTTTGGCCAAAGGGGTTTTCAATGTTGTGTTAACCGTGGGTTGATGTGAAGGTGTGACTTAATGATGTTCAGATTGTGGTACGAAGGATGTGTAATTAAAATTTCCGTGTTTGCAGATGAAAAAGAAGATCTGTCGCGAACTGATCACTCAAATTCTCTCGAGAAAACCCAAGATGTGTGCATTTTTGGAGTACAAAGACCTCAAAATTGTGTATAAAAGGTGAGTTACGAAGAGCAGTTTACCTTTG